GTATAGTACAGTGTACTGTATTGACTCTACTGTATAGTATACTACTCTGAGGTGGTTTAGTCACATTCAGTTCAGGGTTTCTCAATGCCAACAGGAGACATTTGTCTTTATTGTAAAATGTTATGGCAGCTTTATTTTGTTTATTTTACACAACTGTTACTCAATTCCTATATGAATATAAGGTTCACACTAATGGTAAAATACACTTAGAACTACGGTTTGCTTGATGGATTACAATGTTTACCATTCATTTTGCTGAAGAGATTATTTTACTTCACTGTTGGGTTATTGTAACGTGGTCTGAATAAGAAGTTAAATACAAAAACACAGTGTCAGTATTATCTCTTGTATTGACACAATTCCCGTGAACAGAAACACTATTCTAGCAGCGGTGTTGCACTGGTTATTTTAATTTAATTGACGGCCTTTTGCAGAACAAATGAAGTGCGTTGAAGTGATGATTTGTACTTAATTGTTCTGACAACTGCAATTAAGACCAATTGTTAAAGACATCCCAATTTGTTTTTGCATGATAAGTCTACCACCACTGGCCTCACCTGCAGCTGGTCACATCACGTCCAAAGACCAGCTGACTGCCTACCTTACCTCCGCCTTTGCCTCTGGCCCCCACACTGTGCTGCTGTTCCTGCAAGATAAGGTCAGTCCCTGAGACATGAAGACTATATTCCTGCTCTGCAGCAAACGTGGTGGTTACAGTACGTCACTAAACACATTGGAGCTAACAGTGAAAAGTAGTGTGTAGGAGAAGGACTACTCTGAGATTTCTTTTATAGATTTGACTGTTCATCTATTATAAAGCTTGTCCTTGGCTATGGTAGTAGTGAGTCATGTGTAGTTGCACTGCAGTCCCATGTGACGCTGTGTAACAGTCTCCTCACTCTGGTGTGACTGTGAGCTTTAGCATTACTTCCCCTTTCACAGCTCCTCTCCAACACATATTTCGGGTTTGTTCTCTGTGGATCATCATTGTTGTGACTGATAAATGGGATTGGTTGCTGTTTTGTTCCAAATATTTTTTCCACTTGTTGAATTATGAAATTTCATTTTCCTTATTTGTGTTCAGTTGAGCAAAGATGACTTCACGGTCTTTGGTGGAGTGTTTGGAAACAAGCAGGATAGCGCCTTTCAAAATCTTGAGGTAAGTTTCTTTTTTTTTTTCTTTTTTTTAATAACTTTCTACATGAGCCCTGAAGATGATTTTGTCAGACTGATAATTCTTTCCACGCTCTCCTCCTCAGGCTGCACTGCAGTCTTCTTCCTCGTCAGTGATGCTCCCTGCTTTAGAGTGGTCGGATTCCTCTGCCGTCCCAGCTCTGCTGCAGGAGAAGCTGGGTGTCTCACCTCTGCTTGTAGACGCAGACACTCTGTCACATCTCAGCATCAACACATCTGCCAGCAATCTACTGCTCATCAATCTTCCTTATTGTACTGGGTAAGACTTGTGTGCTTTAGCACATCAGTCGATGTAACTCTAAAGTTTAGCTCAGTGAAAGTAAACTTTTTATTTGACTGTTTTTATAGCTTGGACAAGTCTTGCAAGAAAGTCCTACTTGCCAATGGTAAGTTTGAACTGTTAAGGAATTTCATAGTGTAATCTATCAGCAGTTTGGTCACTGTAGAGTATATTTCTGACGTGTATTTGTCTTTCAACAGATGAAATTATTGGGAAAGTTCTGAGTATCACGAAAGACAAAAATGTCCTATACACTGCAATATACACAGGACTCCAGCCATCACGAGTAAGACGATCTAACAGCACATCATGTACCAAAATTGTACCTTTTTTTTTATTTGTAATGATTTCTATGCTAACCATCATCATAAACAGTAAAAACAAATGTCACATGAAGACGTAAAGAATCATAATATACGTTTTGATTGCTCATCTCTGTAGGTGATTTCAGAGACGTCTATGTCTACCCAGCCTGCGGGGCGATCCTTGCTCCAAGCCGTTGTGCCCGATGTCAAACCGCCCATCATGTTTAATGTATCCAGTAACCCTTGCATAATGCTTTGGGCTCAGAATCTCAACATCAGCCTTTCAGAAGGTTCCATGTGGATCGACCTCGCTGCACTAGTGCCTTCCATGACAGGATCCATGTGCAACAGCAGCAACTCACTGTGAGATGGCCAGCGTGTTGGCGTTCAGTTGTTTATTCAGGAGAACTTCAGTTTTATGTTCTTTTTAAAGGAGAGATGTCATTTTAAATGTGTTCTTCTCTCCCATCAGGCTTGTCCTCCATTATGAATCAGGCTACACACTAAGGTAAGGTAATAAACTACCAATATAAGACAATATTTATACATTTTGGAAACTTTTTCTTATCAAAGAGTTTGAAAAGATGATCAATACCTCTCTTATATTCTGTTAAATGTGTTACTACAGACAGCAGCTGCTTAACTTACTTATTAACACATTATATCTTCCACGCATATCCTGCGTAAAACCACTGTTGTACACTTAACACTTCAGAGATTAAAACAAGAAATATTTTGTATAATTTTATAAATATGTTTTAGAGTGCCGCGTCTGTCTCAGTATTTTTTGATACTACCAGTAGAGTCAAGCATTTTCTAATCCTACATACAGGGGTGATATTTATTGAACAATAGATTTATTAAATACCAATATTTGTCACACTTCGAACAATGAATACTAGCCTTTTACACTGATATGCTGTCCTTGAGGAACACTCTTCCGTTGATCTCCAGGTTTGCCATGACTCGGCGGTTCTATCCTGTGTCCGGACGTCACTGGTTCACCTTGGATTCCGTGCAGCTGCAGGCAAACGGGCAAACGGCATCTTACATTGGGAGCCACAACATCTACGCCCCTGCAGAGTATTCCTTCCACTGCCAGTCCGTCACCAGCTTCCGAGATACTCTGCTAGTGCCAAACAAAGACAACGCCGCTCCGTGGAGGCTCAATTTTATCGACTTCCAGGTACGATTTCTAGAAGTGCTGTATTTTACCTGCAGCAGTGAACCAAGTACTTTTTCAATGTGAAGTGTTTATGATCATCAGGTGTCTGTTTAGTCCTGTTCACTCACTGAATTTGTAAACGCATTTTTCTGATACAGATTCAGGGCTTCGGTTTGGCCAATGGAACAGATTTCTCCTATGCCAGTGACTGTGCTGGGTTCTTTACCCCAGGCATTTGGATGGGGCTGGTGACCGGACTGCTCCTGCTGTTAATTTTCGTATACGGTCTGCACATGATCATGCAGCTAAACACCATGGATCGATTTGACGATCCCAAAGGTCCATCGATTTCAGTGCCTCAGTCGGAATGAAGCGCTCCCGAACACAAACACTCCTCAGTGCCTCCTACGAAAGTCCTTCCTTGTCATGTAGCTTTTGTGAGCTTGGGCCTTTATTCTCAGAAAATATTTGGACCTTTCCTCCGATAATCTCTCCTGTAGTTTTCTCTCCTGAATCGTCCCACTGCTGTCTTTTGGATATTGTTATCTTGCCAGGCACATTCCATTTTCCTCTCTCCGTATTTGCAAGTGCCAAAGTGGATGCGCCCTTTTACATTAGTTGTTGAGCTTGTGTGCTAAAATATGATTTTGTGCCACTGTTGGCCAGGCACTGGCTATTTTTCCTAAAATAATTAGCAATAATTTCTGGTAACAGAGAATGTCTTCTGTGCCAACATGAATGTGATTGCTGGATGCTGTAGGACCGTCTCAGACCTCAGTTCTTACTCTTTTTGTTTTTTTTCCAACTCGACTGTAATTTAAAGACTACTGGTTATGAAAGAAGTGCCTGTATGTAAAGAGTAGATCGCTTTTTGTGACTGTTGGAATTGCCTTACAAAAGTATGCTAATACTTAACCTTGGATTAGTTATGCTCTCATTACTGATCAAGTGCCACCACTTATGTCCAATGTTTTCTTGACAAATAATATATTTATATAAAAAGTTTACCCCTTGCTTCACATTCATCAAAACATGTAATAACAGTGCCTCAGTTCTGCTTTTATCATATTAATGTGCCATGACATGTACATTGTCTCCAATTGAAAATAAAAATATCTATAAATTGTGATTTTTAGTTTGGTTGTTGTGAATGCAAAGAGTTAAGTAATGTTTAATCTATATGTATGTGTATGTATATGTATATGTATGTATATGTATATGTATGTATATATAACTATATTCCTTAATGCTGCCAGTTTGCGTAATGAACGCACCAACCCTAGGTAGCCATCGTTACAGCAAGACCAAACACTACGACGTCATGGCAGGTCGAGACGGAGCTAACTGTGTGTTAGTGTAAACTTTTCTTTTTCCTTCGGTTCTCACACCACTTTCTTGCCCACAAATTGTTTCCAAAAATGTCTCCTGTTCAGAGAGCAGTTTTTGGGAGCACTCAAGAGAGGAAACTCTTTCCCGTCAATTTTGCACCCGACCGGCTGGGAACCCAAATGTCACGAGAGGAAGCGCCGCACATCGGTCCTGGATGTTATGACAACGATAAGGTTCGTCTCATTAAATATCTGCCATACATCGATTATTTGCGAAATAATCTGTCCTCACTCGTCACGTGTTTTTATACAGACCTCAAGCCATGATTTGCAGGTTGCTTTATGAAGAGACGTGTAGGCCATTATATGATTATAAGGGCTCTAAATGTTTCCATTCTCTTCACAGTTTGGCACCATAGTCTATGACTTACAGAAGACACCGGGGAGTAAGAAAGGATATGGTCTCTCTGCGAGGACTGCAGCACGCTTTCCGCCCTGTAGCACAAAGGTAGAATACATGAAACACGTTCATCTCAAATGAGGTGCATGCTCGAACAAACGTGTACTGAGAGTATGATCGAGAGCACATTTAAGTAGCTTTAAAGGGGCACGCCACCGATTTTACACATGAAGTTCAGTTTATTTGGACGGTGGTGAAATGTAAATACATACTGAAGTATTGTACCCAAGTACAACTTTTATGTATTTGTACTTTACCTGTCTATTTCTATCTTATGCTACTTTTAACTTGTACTATTCCACTACAACTTGGAAGCAAGTATTGAACTTATTACTCTACATTTATCTTGTAATATTAGTTATTCATTACACTTATTTAATATGATGATGGATTATGGATTAAGCTGGCTGGCAGTTAAAGTAGTTGAAATTGTCTCCACAATAATCAGTGGCACCATTAAGATGATGAACACATGAATGCATCAATAATTATAATCCAATGTATATATATATATATATATATATATATATATATATACGTATATATAATCTGTGCAAAAAATCTTACTTTGTAAAATCTCTAGCAGTAAATGTACTTAGTTACATTTCTCCACTGCTAAAAATCAGAACACATCAGCCACTACTGCTTTGATTTGACCATTCATTATGACACCAGTCTCTTGGAAGTCCCCAAACTTCATGAAGTGCAGTGCTAAGTGGCTGGAATACCCGTTTAACATGTTTGAATTTGTTTTGTTACAATGTCTATCACCAGACAGCGACCCCTTCCCCACAGCAGTACCAGCAGGATCAAAGCCGGTCCAGAATCCCTCCCTCAGGCAAAACACCTTTCAACTCAACCACACAGAGGTTCAAAAGCACGTCATGTACAGTTGAGGACAGCCCAGGGTGAGACAGATACCCACACAGACACACAACAGTGCTGAACTGAACTGAGCTGACAGATCATTTTGTGAAACAGGCCTGGGGCCTACGCTCACGATACAGTGACAAACAGGAAAGTAAGCTGGCCGATGTGCTTCGGGACCCCAGACTGGCCCAGACTCCCTCAGATGGAAAAGAAGTCAGTCAAGGGGAAGGTAAGGTTAATACTCCAAAATGTAAAAAAACTGAAGGGGGTTCATACATGAAACCACAATTCAATTTTCAAGCTAAAAGCATGGGGGGAAAAAAACAAAAACAAAAAGACATGAGGATATTTTCCAGACTTCCACATCAGAACAAAGTCTGGTCTTCTAACCACTGCCACCGACTGGAAGTTGACCTGGGTAAGCGGCTGATGTTCTCTGCTCGGATAACATCAACACTTCTTTGACCAGACATGATCATCGTTACAGAGTCCGTCATGCTGGAACTAACAGGGCCTGAGCTGCCAAGGGTGTCTATTCTGCAATGTGTTAATGCTATTGGTCATCACCGGGGAGGCAAAGAGGAAGGTCAACTGAAGAGAAAGCCACTGGGTGGCTTTGGATTGAGAGGGCAGATCCATGGGTGAATAGTGCTGGGGCGCAAGCTGGATTCTGATCAACCCTGGCTGGGTTGCCTGGATGAAGGTGTCTGATGTTGAAAGACCAGAGACATCCATTGAACCCAGGTTCCATCACTGATGTTATGTACCAGTGCATCTGCAGGGAGCATTGTTCTTGTATGACTTTATTTATGACTTACTACACTTTCACTTTTTAATGACATCGTTTAACTTTTTATGCCATTCTACTCGGACTTTTTTTATTGCATTTTGTACTACTTTCCATATGACATTTCATCCTGTACTACCATATATTTATGACGTATTAAACTATGCATATCATGAAATATGTACTTTAATATGGATTTTTGATTTTTTTTTTCTTGGCATACTATACAACTTCTAACTTTTTTTGGCATACTGTACTATGGCTTTTTTTTATGAAATGTTATGTTATGACTTTAAAAAAATGCTTTTGACATACTATATTGTCAATATCTTCATGACGTACTATACGAAGACTTTTTATGACATACTACAGTGGGACTTTTTAATGACTTTCTCATGACACTTTTTTGACATTTCTGACATACTGTACTATGACATTAAGTCTTACTATGTAATGAATTTTACGTACTATACTATGACTTTTTACATGACTTTCTTTGACATACTATACTTTGATTTTATTTTTTACAATATTTCGACATGCTATATCGTGACTTTTTAAAAACTTTTTTTGGACATGCTATATTATATTTTTGTGATTTGTTACGACATGCTATACAATAACTTTTTAGACATACTATGGTTAGTATAGTGACAAGGCCGATGGCCCGGACAGCATTATCAGCAGTAACCACCATATGAGTGCAGTGCAGAGCGGCAGCAGTTAGCTAGCCAGCGGGGCACAACAGAGGCTACGTTAACAAAGCACAGACAAGCTCGGATAACAACACACACAGAGAGGGTGAGCAACCTAATCTCTGCTCTGGATTCCATTACTCCATTATATCTTAACATTCTAAATAGTTATATGCTTTATTAGTGCTCTGATCCCGTATATAGAACGCTAACCCTTTTTCCTGACAGAAAAAAATGGGTGATTTTCTCATAGGGAATTCTATGTGGAATGATATTGAGCAACAGCTAATACTCCTTTGTTTGTTTTTTCAGCTGAACAGTGAAAAGGCATTCCTGAAGCACAGAAGCAGAGTGGCCTACATGAGTTTGTACTATTAACTCTAAAGCTGATGGATGTAAACCCATTGTGACAGTGACGTAAGATGTTGCCTTAGTCATCATTTTGACCTGTGCCTTTAATGTCAATTTACTGGACTGATACTGTTGTCAAGAAATGTTTTGATACCTCAATTAAAATAAAATAAAGAGAAATTAATTTTTCTTTATTCTCAAAATGACTGTATTCCTGTAGGGTTTGTATATTACACCATTATGTTGCTTACAAAGCAACATTACACAATATTTTAACAAAGTGAGTGCTTGCTGAATAAATGATGATAGTTAACAAAACAAAAAAAGAAAGTTCTCCCCTCAATAGAAGTCAGCTTACAAAATGCAAACGGCAGTGCTGGTCCCGGCTCGCACAGCAGGTTTCTGCGGCTGCTCTCCGTGGTTTAGAATCGCTGACTGAACTGTGTAAAGCACCAACCACTGTGACAAATGTGAGTCTGTTGGTCCATATTGGACTCATTTCTTCCTCCTCACTTTGGGTTTCTTGACTGGCCGAAGATACGGGTTGTCGATCACATTGTCCTCGGTGGCCTTTGCGGAAGGAACAACTCCGCCAAGAGGAAGTATGGAGTTCTCTTTGTCAGCTCCTGGATCATCCTGAGTGAGGGGGGAAAAAGAAATGATTGTTGAACATGCTACCATACAACTTGAACATCACATTGTAAGGAATAATTTGACATTTTGGGAAATGCGTTTATTTGCTTTCTTACAGGGAGAAGACTGATACCGCCGGTATGTTTGTGGGTGTAGCAGCGAGCTACAGCACAGTGTAAAAATACTAATAAAAGATCCTGCATTGAAAATGTTACTTAGGTAAAAGTAAGCAAGTTCCTTTTCAATGTCATGTAGAACATACAAAAGCATTGCACGGAGGCAGAATACAACTGGATCAACCTTTCAGCTGCAGTGGTTTCTGCTCATCAGTTTTATTAATAATGGAACGGTCGGCAGTACGCAATTGCGTTCTGCTGAAGGAGCGCAGAGGCTCATGGGACTGTGTTATGGACTGTTCCTGTTCAAGTGTGTTTTAATGATGTTCTACTCATGTTTTGGGTGTGCATGTGGGATTATTGTGTGTTAGTTTAGTGCTCATGTTACTTTACAAGGTGGTGGCCATGACTGACCTGCGTGGAGAATGATAGCCTATGTGCAGTGTATTTGTTATGCTGTTCAATGTTCATGAAACATGCTTGGAAACTTCAAAACTCTTTAGAGTAAATTCTTCCACGGAGTTCACCACAACAAGATTAAAAACAGCACGTTGGACTTTTTTAGCTTTTCAAATTCACATGCACAAATATGTGGAAACAGAGACATATTCCCAGGAAGTAACTATTTTAAAATCTCTGGAAGTCTGGGAACTTCATAGCAGACCACATCGGACACTGGGCAAGTTCCTGTAGTGGTTAAGACTTACGCTGATAATGTTTCCCGCTGCGTTCTCGCTGTCTGTCTGGTCGTCCTGCTCAGAGGAGTCCGTCTCCTCCAGAGTCTGCAATTCCAGCTCTGAGGGCAGGAGGGCGCTGAGGTATGGGATAGTGCTCGGTTGTGCTGCGATCACTGAAAACACATTCACAGGTATTAGAACTTGTGTAAATACGACATGCTTTCGGTAGCATAACAGACAGGCAGGCATACAGAGAACAAGACAGACTTGAATGTGTAAACAATGCATTACAACCGGTTTTGGAAATACAGGACCACTTGGTGGAGTCGCTCACATGGGAAGGCAGTGATGTCGTCTTTGAAGAGGCTCTGAGTTTCTCCGGTCTTGGCCATGAAGCGCGTGAGCGCTCGCTCCACGTCTCTCCTCTGACTTGCTGCTTTTTCTCTCACCACTTGGTAGTCTGACACAGGCTCCCTGAACGTCTGAGCGGGAAAACACATGGCACACAGTTCACCATCTGAACTTAACCTGTTACACATTATGAAGGGCTTCCTGATTGATGCCCTGATCGCAATGGTAAAAAAGGTAGGGTGTTTCCTTGTCATTAATTTAGACAGAGTCTACATTGTACATAATAGACTATATTCTATCTTCATATATAATATTACTAAAGGAAAATTCGTTCAGGGTTTGTCTCAGGATCTCTGTCACGGCTAGGTTTGGTTACCATTCACATATGAACAGATACTTGTACCCATTGCTACCTTTTTTTGGTACTCTTACTTAGAACCTTTTGTTATTTATTTAGAACATGTTTCACTCCCCTTCCTTTCCTCCCTCTCCCCTCCCAAACCTGTCCCAGCCTGTTACTAAGGCATAATGTGAGAGCGCTGGACTCACGGGTGTTTTGATGTAGGTGTGAGGGTCAGGAAACTCCGGGAAGTGGCTGGGGATGTGAGCCGGATGTGTGCGTTTCTGGCCGGCCGACAGTGCTTTGGGAGTCACAGGTGGGTTCGTCACTGGAGCTGAAATTCATTAAAATCCAAACACAAAGAAAAAACAAAGTTCACATCTATGTCCATTTTTTTAGTTAGAATATCAGAATTTATGTAGAAAGTGAGAATACTGTCACCAATAAATGACATAATCCACAGTAACGGTGGAAAGTAAAGCGCCTACTCACGGGCAGTTATAACCATCCTCTGGGATCTCTTGGCATACACAGGCAGGGTGTCGGCTTTGAAACCTGTAGAGAAACAAACAGATTAAATGATGTTCTCTATGTTACCTTGTGATATCAATGCGTAATTGATACGACGGCGTCCTCCAGTACCTACCCATTTCAATGAGTGTGACCACTGTGTCTGACAGGGTTGGGATGCTTCTGGCTGTGTGTTCACAATAAGCTTTAGCACACCGACCTATTTCAGATATATCTAGAAAAGGGACCAAACACATCGGGGTTGAGAAAAGTCTCTCCTCAGGAAGACTAAACATTTTGCAGGTAGAACAAAAAGATGAGTCATAAAAGATGAGATTTAACGTCCGATAGTAGGATTCATCAACAAATGCGTTCAACCATTTTTTTGTGCTGACTGTGCGAACGGCAGTCTCACCGTAAAGGTCTGCCACTGCTTACACATTAAAACGCATTCATTGATTGATGCATATGCAGGTGATGCATCAGCTGCAGCATATCAGTCACATCTGGATGACGGCCAACACGCATAATACGGTCTGCATTATACTGATCCAATCAATTCCTACAACTAAGAAGTTCAACAGACAATTTTCATTCCCCTGATGATGTGATCACTAAAGATCTGCCAACTGTCAGCAGAGAAGAGAGCTACAAAGTAGATTTAAATGATTTCTACTGCGCAATGCGGACGTGGAGGATTCTGCATTGATGCAGTAAGAGAACATAATGGTGAGTCTGGTTTCAGTTCAGCACAGTTGCTTCTCCTTTCATCTCTGTTGTCCAAGGTTGTTGCTCTCACTACCATTAGCTGCTCTGTTTCAAATATATTAGGCTGAAAAACGTTAGAATTCAACCGTGGCGTTGTTCTGTTGGGAGATGCAGTGACTTAAACCGAGTAAGAGAAGAATCGCCACGAGAAAGGAAAAGTCAGCTAGCAGCTGGGCTCAGTCACTCAGTGTAAAATGCAACAGGCATTCAGGAAGTGGCCTGTCTGAGAGTGATACATTGAGATGCATCAGGAATGGTTCTGTATTCAAATCATTGACGGGTGAATTGGAAGCGAATCCTGAGGTCAGTGAAGCTTCACACCTCGAATAAATATAGCAGCGAAAAAACAGTTTTGTATGTGAAGATATAGTCAAAATAATATCCACATTTGCATTTAATTAGTCATGATTTTGACTTGCTGGGATGGTTGATGCAGCGTGTTGTTGTAATGTTTGCCGTTTTAAATTTGTTCTATGTAGTTTTTGTTAGGTTTCTGCCTGGCTGTACTATATGCTGTAACACAAACTTTGAGGTTACTCAAGACTAAACTGATGAAGGCAACTTAGTGGAAAACATTTGGTGAATAAAGCAGGGTGCCCTGGAGAAGAACTATGCTGCGCTTAGGAAAATGAATACGGGCACATCTACTTTAGGATTCATACATACAGCTTTGCATCATCTCAGTGAGGGTCTCCACTGCTGCCTTCTCGGCGCTCTCAAAGCCACACTCTGTCAGGAGGGCACTGACGACAACCTGCAGGGTGCGGCGTCGGGCCAGGTGGTAGTTCTCTGCAGGGCTGGTAGCTGCCTTACCGCCACTCCCACGCTGAAAAACATACATGAAATAACACATATGGTGGGCGAGAAAAAAAAATACATCAGACACTTAAAAGATTCCCATGAAGAAAGTGCCTCATCACAGCATGACAGAAAGAAACTAATACAACAACCAAATAGACCCGAGTTTAAAAACATGAACAGAGTATTACCATTTTAGGTATATGGGTTGTATCTCCTATTAGGCTGTGAGGAGAAACTCCTAAATATTAATTTAAGGCTGGGTGATAATTCAATATGCAAAAAAAAATCATCTTCTGAGGATGATAAAATCACCAAAGATCTTTTGCAACTTCTTTTGGAATCAGCAGGCACATGTCCCACACATGTTTTATGTAACAAGGAACCACATTGGAAGAAACATCACACAGCAAAAAAAAAGAAAAAAAAAAAAAAAAGAAGAAGATTTTACTTAAATGGTACGTGGGCTTAGTGATATTTATTCTAAGTAAAGCTGTCACAAAAATATAGTGGCGTAAATAGTACAATGTTAGTCACAATTTAAAAATATTTATGTGGCACATGTTCCTGCTGTGGCTGGTAGCTCTCATCAATGTTGCTACATTTTTCAAGGATAATTTATTGTCGTTATGCAACACAGGGATGCACAACAACATGCAGATGTAGCCCATTTGCAACACAAGAAAAACATGAAAAACAAAACAAAAACAGTAGTGCATTTTTTGAATTTGCATCATGAGGAATGTAAAAAGCAGCAATAAAAACAAATATATATTCTCTGGTCAGATAACATTGCCGACATTTAAAATTCAACATCAGGAAAACATATTTCATCAACTTTGACTGTGTTTGAGCATCATTGACATAAACACCTCCTCTAGTCCCACCGCAGTCCTGCGCTCTGTCCGGCTCTCCGCCCGTCAAGTGCAGCTTGATCTGGGATGCAACGATGGAGTCAGATCTCTGTAAGGATGTGGGCTCAACAGTCACCAACCTCCCATTGTTGGGTTCGCCTGAAGTTTTTATTTCTTTCATCTTTTTTTTTCTGTGACCAGACATCAGACAAGACAGCCAGGAGTAGGCTAGGTAGTGGAGTATCCTTAGGTCCTAGCTGGGTTAGCTTAGCTTTCACCGAGGCTCTCCTACCTCTCCTGCCTGGGGCAGTTTGGTGCAGATACACCAGCTGGTTGCTCGGCTGTGGGCAGTGATTGTCTCAAAGTCTGCTGCACTTCATCCAATCCCAACGCTTCCTTTTCCGATGTTGATGAAGGTATTCTGTGATATGCCATTAGTGCTCCAGTAATAAAGACAAAAAAAAAATACAAAGCACTTATGGCATATGTCAGATACACTCATCAACATCGGAGAAGGAAGCGCTGGGTTTGGATTCATTTGTGGAAAGCAGCCATTGAGACGATCACCGCCCTCAGCTGACCACCACCACACAGCCAGACCTGCTAGACCAAATGCTACTGAACTTGAAGTCCAGAGGGAGAAGAGCCAAGATGGAAGCTAAGCTAACCCAGCTAGGACCTAAGTAATTCCACCACCCAATCTGATCCTGGCTAATGACAGGTCGAAAGAGAATTCAGGCTAACCCAGCAAAGGGAGGTCGTGACTGTTGTGTGCACATCTTTATAGAGACCTGGCTCCATCGTGGCATCCCGGGTCAAGCGGCCTTCGACAGGCGGACCGCAAGAGAGAGAAGGACTCTGGAGGGACAAGAGGACTCTGTTTACATCAATTGTGCTTGGGGCTTAAACATAGTAAATATTGATGGACAATGTTTACCTGATTTCTAATGTTTAATGTCGGACATATTGCCCAGAAAATGTTTTTGTTGATGCAGTGTATATTCCTCCTAAAACAAATGTAAAAATACACAGGAATGTATTCTGTTTTGTGGGTTACAGCCTGTGTTGCATAATGACAATAAATTAATCCTTGAATATTTGTAATAGAAGTAAGTTGCATAAAACGGAGATACTCAGTACAGGTATCTTGAATAATGGCAGTGCTTGAGTAGGTAAATATTTAAGTAAATGTACTCAACACTAGTTACATTCCACCTTTCATAGTATTCCATCATATAAATGATTATATTATTCTGTTTTCATCAAGTGCATTTTAATGTAGTTCGTCAAAGAGGTGCCAATTTTAGATCAGACTTTTTATAGTATTGGGTAAATTACTGAGTGTTATATAAATGTAGTGAGGTAAAAAGTATAACATTGTGAAATATAAAGCTAGTAGTCTAGAAGTATTAAGTAGCATAATATGGAAGTAAGTGCAAGTAAAGTAAAAGTCAATGTCCCAATACTTCCCACCATTGCTGTTTGACAAGCTTAGCTCACAGGTGCACACGTAGATACACATTAGCAGGTGTAACGTTGAAGGATATCAAATAAAGACGAATGAACCAAGACCTACAAACTTACCGTAGATACCATGCTTATGTTAGTAACACTTGTTTAGAAACACATTCGGCACAGTTGCGTCTCTTCCAACAGACTGCTAACAGTTAGCTAACAGCTAGCTAGCTTAACATTACAACCTAACGTTACAGGTTGCGTTAAGTTAGCTACATCCTGCTAATGACAGTGAGTATAAACGTCGTCTCTTACCCCTCCTGTATTCAGTGAACCTCCCGATGCCACCGCAGGATCTGCCATATGTAATTATTTGTAATCTGCTCGTATTAAAATAAAATAACTGTATAGTGAGAAAAACGTTATTTGTCCGACAGCCGTTTAGCCTAGCCGCCGTTGGTAAACACGGTGTGAATTTATGTCGTCATTTCCTGTTACGCAGACGGAAGATTAAATCAACTCATGGTGCACTCACTGCCGCCATCTAGTGGTTGTTTGTAGAATTACAACGGCTATATTTTCAAAAGTGACAAGTCATGTTTAATTCATTGTCCTCACTGCGTTTACTTGTGGGCAGTAGTGGAATTTAACTAAGTGAGTACTTTTACCTAAGTACTTTAGCATCTTGGTATTTGTACTTCACTTGAGGAGGCTATTTTCTTCCATTTTATGCAACGTCATACTTCTACTCCACTACATCTCAGAGGCAAATATTGTACTTTTTATTTGTCTGACAGCTTTAGGCACTAGTTACATTTCAGATACCATTTGAATTGCTGTAGATAAAACTACCCAACATAAAGTGGTTATAAATAATAGTCTGACATAAACAGTGCAACCTCAAACAAATCTACAGCAGTTAAATGCAGCATACGCATTAATGCAGCAGTAATATTAATTTCAAAACCATCATATATAATAGTAAAACAGTGATAAGGACCGTTTTTACCTGTTATACATTATGTAAACCTACATTTTGCTGATAATATACATACTTTATTTAAGTATAGTTCTGAATGCAGCATTTTTACTTGTAATGGAATATGTTCACAGTGCTGTGTTGCTACTTTTACTTCAGTAAAAGATTATAATACTTCTTCCCAACACTGCTTGCCAAAAATGCTGTTGCTAAAATCCAGCATACAATAAGAGCGGGAAAAATGCATATTGCACAGATCTGAATGTGGGGATGTCTTACCTCTCATTAGTAACATACACACAGTGACAACAAAGATGCAAAATGTGTGTACTCAGCATACATTTGTCACACAGAAGGTAAAATTGATCATGGTAAAATGTAGTTTAGTTCATCTTCTCTTCAAATACAAATGTATGTCATGTCATAAATACATCTATTTGATCATCTTGCAACATGTGCAAAGGGCTTTGTTACTCTAAAAAAAAAGACCTGAATCAGTTGCTAGCTGAAAAATAGCTTTATTAGAGTGCAAAATTAATTAAATCACACACATTCCATTTTTCCTCCAACACATTCATCAAGTCACATCCAAAGGTATCTGCTGCCCAGCAGCGAGACATTACGGTACCCTCCAGTTTTCAGTCTATTTACTAGTTTTTTTGCCAGTCAAAAGGGAATGTTTAACCAAATCTGAAATAAAAGAATGAGTACAAAGTGACCAGTTCAACATGGTGTTTTAATTTACCACCATCACCATCAACATTGCAAGTGTGAGTCCATTTACACCAGGATGGGAGGGTTTCTTTAAGAAGCATGTAAGCGGTTCGAGCTCCTCTGCCCAGCAGTCACCAGATGTTTGGCCTTGGCCTCAATCACTACCATATTTAGCACGTCCACAACTTCGGGGCGAACCAAGGTGGTGTGTGACTTCAGCAGCTGCTTCTTCTCCTTCTTCACGATCAGCTCTGCCGGTGCGTCCTCAACAGTCTCCTGCTCCGCAAATGGCAGGAAAACAGTTTTCACCAGTCCACCAACAACTCCCAGCACTGCCATAGTTGAGCCAAGCATGTAGATCTTCAGCATGCCTCGGCTTGGCCTCTGGTTTAGCATCTCCTTGGCGAACGGGATGATCTCGCCAATGGTTTCCATAGTGTGGTGTTTGAGACTGTTGAAGGAAAAAACCGTCAGAGAACTCCTTTGATTTACTGTTTAAAAACAAAGTGTTTAAAAAAACTTAAATCAATCTTTCCACTATACACATACAATGTTGTTACTGATAGGCAGATACTCACTTTGAAGCACACCCCAAACTCTCAAGTGTTCGGCCCAGTCAAGGATTCGCAAGCAAACAGACGAGGGCAGATCCTGTGATTTAAACACAAGTGGAGTCCGGTCAACTCCCACAGTGGCGATGGAATGCATATTCATGAGGCTATAGCAATTGCTTTTTGGAGCAGGGCCCTTTTTGGGTAAAAGGCCATGGGTTTCTCGGACAAGAAGTGAAGCAAATATTCCCTCTAGGTGAAACCGTGCATATGACATCACATGAGGTCAATATGTGTTGCAGCAGATGCATCTGAAATACTTTCCATGTTACTGAACATTGAACCACATGAGTCATTGGTTGGTGTTACTTGGCTTGTCGCTGTAAATATTGATCCTCATCAGGAGAGCTTAGTGTCCAATCACAGCATGTGAAACTATGTTAAGCCAGTCCCATTTATTGGTGGGAAAGGCATTGTGATCATGCCGTCTTGAGCTTCTCTGGCTCATGCTCGCTGTCTGACCATAGAGCTGACCATGAAGCAGCAAGAGATGGCAGAGTGTGCCTTTGTCTGAAATTCTCTGACCTTAGACCTCGTCCACTCACTGCAAGAGAGGAGGGAGTGAAGTTGGGCAAGTAAGTTGTGAAATGTGTCTGATCTTTGTCACAGAGAGAAGTGTGATCAAATCTCAGTGAAAATGGCAAACGACCGAAGTCATGAGATGTCTCCATGTCGGTTCAACATCTGCACACCAGATGTTAGAGACACCAAAACAAATCATCCAGTTGGGTTTTAGCCATGCTGTGGCTCAATAAATGATGTGTCAGATTTTCTGTAGGTTTACCACTTTGATTCAGACTGAAATACCTCAACAACTATTGAATGGATTGCCATTTTATACACACATTCATGGTTCCCAAATGACATCTCCCACTAATTTTGGTGATCTCCTTAATTTTCCTCCAGCGCCACCATGACGTTGACATTTAGTTTGTTATTAAAATATCTTTACAACCATCAGGTGGATTATTGTGAAATTTGGTAAACACATTCATCGTCCCCTCAGGATGAGTTGTTATAACTTTGGTGATCCTTTGACCTTCCATTTTCCATAACCATCAGGTCAAAAAAAAGAAAAGAAAAGAAAGGAAAAGGAAAGAAAAAACACTAAAAATACCCACACAGCTTATGATGTGTCACAGCCCTGCTCTAGAACTGGGACAAACATGGGAGACACAAGGGTATACTTAACAGATAAAGTGATTTATTAACCAAAAGGTAAGTCAAAACAAATGAAACAAATGGATGGGAGAAATCTCTAAACTTAGTAGGGGTTGAATGAGGGAGAATGTGCTGCATGGATGTTGTGGCGTAGAAAACAAGGAGAGAAAACAAAAGCCATGACACAGAGGTATGGGGTAAGAACAGATCCACCAACCAAAGGACTTCTGCTGCTCAGGCTTACATGTCGCTGATTCATCTCCTATCAGTTCTGCAGATATAAAGTACAGACACAGCATAGGAAACAAACAGAAGGGCTGTCATAGGTGCAATTACTTTTTTGGTGGTTTATTAATCAACATTTGAACTCTTGCTCAGCAGTGACGAAATGCGGAAAAATTCAAGAATGACCTCTCCCTCATTAGTCAGCTTTGGAGTGAAGACTTTCCACAAATGTTGATGATAAAATCACAATAACTACACCGTCAACAATGTTCCTCTTTGAGCAACTCAGTTTGGATTCTGGGCATTTATGGTTGCAACTGCTACCGACCAGCACACCGACGGTACTGCTGTCGGACCACAGGGTCCTCTGAAAACTGTGTGTTCTGGGGCTGGTTTGAGCGCCTTTCATGATTCATTCTTTAATTAATCAAGGCAATTGAATGGTATAAGGAGGATAGCAAAGCAGACCACATCATAACGTCAAACATGGGTTCCCCAAGACTGATTTCCAATAGTTTTTTTTATTGGGTTTCAGATAAAAGAAAATAACCTCTGATGCAATCAAAAAGAAAGTTAATATATATAGTTAACATTGTACAGCTTAAAATCCATTGAGATTAAAACAGGTGTACAAACACTCTCATGCTTATTTTAACCATTGACTCTTGACTAAATCTACAAACTCTCTCTCGGTGCTTGAATAGTATAATGCTCTCAACATGCTGCAGGAAATGATTCATTTTGTAAAACAACAAGTTGTGGCTGCAGTGTCCTGAGCAAACGCTTTACTGCTACTTTAAATAGTAACTTTAAAACATAAACCTGTTTGGTTACATCTCTTTGTGACGGTTGTCTAATGAAAGACGCTCTGAAGGCATTTTGAGAGCATTTTGGAAACCGGTGCTACATTCTTCTGCTTTATTTATTTATTTTTAACAAAAAGCATTATGTTTGATTGAGGGAATAGTAGCTGGACAACTGCTGATGGTTTTGTTCTATTTGCAGGTGGTATATGCAAAGTCAATACGCTATATTCTAGATATTTATTTGGAGACACCTGTCACTATACTTTCAATCAGATGCACAAATAAAAAAAATGGTATAACTTACCGACTAGATATTAGAGATAGATAGATATTTAATATTCCATTTAACAAAATGCTGAAGATTTCTTCATAAGTGACAGATGTCTTCAATTATACTTGATTTTTGCAAATCTTTCAGCTGTATGCTGCAGCTTTAGGGTGAATTTCTATCACTAACATTTAATTAACAACCTCTACTTCCTTCTATTGGTTGCTCCTCTCCTCTCATGTTAACATATGACTTTTGAACATTGTATAACAGTATTACGGCGAGATGTAATGTTTTTTTCGCTTTCAGATTCAAACATCTGTGCACACAGCTCACTAATGATCACTCATATAAACACGCTGTAAATATCAGTAATCAGCTTTTATACACACGTTTGCATTAACATAGTTGACTGAAAAAAAGGCCAAAATACAGTATATTGCTGTACGTATTATATAATGGAATAGAAGTGAATATGACTCTGTGAGCGGCCTGATGATAAATCCTTCAGAGGAAGTTTTGGATGCCCTCTGGTGTCTGATGGAGGAGCTTTGAGCTGCTGACTGTATTTCTGATGTGACTCAGCTGTTTCATCTGCACCATCAAACAGAAATGTTTAATTTATGTGATGACTGTTACTGATACAGTTAATTATCATTCATTGGCGGCAGCCAGAAATCTCAGCCTCTACGGCCCGACATCCAGAACACCCACAGCACACCTCCCTCAGCTCAGCCGCAAACACACAGTCATTGCGTGATATGAAAAAAACATTCTATAACTACACCGTGTTGCCTCCTGCGTATCAAGAAAATAACCCACGTCTTATTTGAAGTAGATTGAAAGTTGTAGAAATGTAAAGTTCAGTGTGCATTGATGTTGACATGTGAAGATTGTGGTTCACTTGATAAAGGGGTCCTCCTGAAATTCTCAAGCCATTACAGACTAGTTGACTATTAAGTGTGAAACCTCATGTTTTGTTTGTTGTTTAAACCGTATTGTTACTGTACAGCTAAGGAACATAGGACTCTAAGCCCTTTACAGTGGCCTATGCAGGGTTTTCTTGACTATAATGGTTACATGCTAATAAAAAAGACAAGACATCATATGTGATCTATGTTTGTGCTGGACGTCGGTGTCCCTTCAATAGAAAATAATTCTCCCTGGACTGAAAAATGAAGACACTGACATGCTTCCTTCTGGACTCATTTATGTGGCAACATGATGAAGCACCTTTTTTCCTTTAAGACAACACAATATAGCCATCCAGTTGTTTCAATGCCAAGTATTAAAAACAAACAAACTAAGAAACATGAGGTACCTAAGAATTTCTGCAAATGAAGAATAATAAAAACTGTGTGTTCGTCCTCAAAACCCTCCCAATCTTAAGATGTTTGATGTCCTGAAGCACTTTTTCTTTATTTCTTTTCTGTCTGTAACTTGGCTGTTGAACACGAGGAATCTAATATCTATGCCAATAATGGAGTAAGTGTGAATGGGAATGCTACTCAAAGACCAGCTCTGCCAAGTTTCGGTTTGACCTTTTGGGTATGAATAGTGGGGAAACTGATTGTGGGAAATCTAAACATAAAGGCAGAGAAATTACTATTATTAGATCATATAAATAGCTTTGTTCACATAAAATAAACCTGCACAGACCTTTGTGTTTATTCCCAGTATATTCAATGTAGTCCAATCCAGTAAGAAATTTGCTCATTTTTAACAGGGAGGACAGACCCGGTTCATATTGGTCACCCACGCCTCTTTAAATGTGACTCAACAGTTATCAACCTTGTGTTTTCTAAAGGAAAAATACTAACAAAGCTTTTAACAAGGATTGTTGTTTTTAACATTTCCGTCTCACTCCGTTTCATATATTTTGTACTAAAGTAACAGCACCATGGCTGACTTGTAAAAAAGTAATTTCCAAATTTGAAACTTCATAACAAAGTAACCAAACTCCTTAGGTCTTCCAAATCGTAACACTTTATAATAATATAATTCTCAGAAACATGATGAAAACACATCAGGTGATATCACTTATTATTTTAATTAAAGTGTAAGGCGTTCGTAGCTTACAAGCTAGCTGACTAGCTAACTAACTTAACCGGCAGCTGCTGCTCTAATACCGGGAGTTTATAACATCACATGTGTGTTAAAGTGATCGGTTAAATTTTGTGACGTTCGTAGCTTACAAGCTAACAAACGTTACCGGCAGCTTCTCCATTACCGGGAGCTTATAACATCAAGTTTGTCAATAGTAGTAACGTTAGCTGACAAAAGCTAACTGTTAGCTGCAGCTCGTCTGCCTGCATCCGACCGTAGTTAGCCTTGGAAAGTAACTTCACTTTCTAATCTCAGAGGTTTATTAATATCTTACTGAGATTGTGACGATTTTACAAATGATTTATACTTCATATCATGTCCATAAACGGACCAACGTGAGCTCAGGTAGACAGGTTATCAACCTGAAATATCACTTCAAATCTGGTAGACGTTGAGATAAATTACACGAATACACTGAACTTGAATATTTTGCTGATTCTGTTCTTGTTTTGTTACAGGGAGCCAGGAGCTGAGGGGAGAATGATGGAACAACATTCAGCAACCGTAGTTTGGAATTAAGACATTAGTCCATTTGTAATATCTCCATTTGACCATCTTGTACTTAAGGTTAGTTACATTAGCTCTACTCCTATATAAAGTTATATAAAAAATATGAAGTATGTGCATATGTGTTACTGCAAGTTAATAAACACATTTGCTGAAATTTGTTTTGCTGCTGTTAATGTTCACTGCCTTGATTGATTTCCTCTGCCTTATATGCAATATGTATATATGTGTGTACTGTATATGTATGTATGTGTGAATGAAATAAAATAAAGTTATTGATAAATACATTGTTTTAATTACAAGAACTATAACTGATTGAAAATTTGTTATTTAACATAGTAACTGATTTAGATAACTGATTATTAATTTAGAAAAATAATATGGAAAATAACTATGAATGAACTATTGAATATATGATAAGAAAACTGATTAAATACATTAATCTAAAACCTTTACAGTATATATACTGAAAAGGTTTTAGTTTAATGTATTTATGTGTGTGTATATATATATATGTACACACTATAAATATATGTAGCCAGTCGAAGTAGGGGTAGGAAGGTTTTTGTACTGTCCCTGATAGAGATGACTTACGTGCAGGGTTAGTGACAGTGACAGATGCTGCTTTTATTTTAGGCGTACTGTCACTTTAAGAACAGTGAAGCGTGAGCTGCGCGAGAGCACGGAGTTCACGTGAGATGTGGAAATACAGAGCGGGAATCAGAGGCTGCTGAGGACCGAGCGTTAACTTTTAGCATCCAGACTGAACTGAAGGGAAAGACCCGAACGACGGGGCAGCACAAGTAGCGGGAGAAGTTACGAATGAATGCTGAATCATCTTGTAATTGGGTTAACTGTTAAGAGACATGGTGTTAAGTTGTATGCATCTGCCTCATTTAGAGGGGAGACAGAAGCTGCCGTGAGTGTGTGTGTGGGTCTGAGCACACAGGCCGAGTACTGATATGGGAATGAGTTCATTATTTTCTTTAACAATAATTGTGTTCCTGTGAAATGGTATAACTTACCGATTACATATTAGAGATAGATAGATAGATATTTAATATTCCATTTAACAAAATGCTGAAGATTTCTTCATAAGTGACAGATGTCTCCAATTATACTTGATTTTTTGCAAATGTTTCAGCTTTAGGGTGAATTTCTATCACTAACATTTAATTAACAACCTCTACTTCCTTCTATTGGTTGCTCCTCTCCTCTCATGTTAACATATGACTTTTGAACATTGTATAACACTATTATGACGAGATGTAATGTTTTTTTCGCTTTCAAACGTACACGGACCGTGTACGTTTTAGTCTTTTTTTTTTAGTCTTTTTTTTTTTTTTTAGTCACCAAGTCATCTATGAGGTTGATCCCAATTACGCATGGCTTAATCTTTGAGACAATCATATGCTACTGGCAGGATCAACCGTGATCAACCAAGGACCGTGTACACGGACCGTGTACGTTTTAGTCATCTGTTTTACCGTTAATTCGGAAAATACGGAAATACCATGGTACACGGACCGTGTGAAGCAGAATTCACCAAGCGTTGGATTGTTCACCTACTAATAGGGAACGTGAGCTGGGTTTAGCTCCAAGGAGTGCCATCCCACAATCAACTTGTACAATCATTGGCAGATTAACGTGGGGAACATTCAGTGAATCAATTTGTAATTGGATTTGGACCCATCCGACATGGAATTGTATATTCTTCAACAATGTTCCCTCGGGTAATCCATTCCCTCATAGTTCTAGGTCTGTACTCGTAAACCAAGTCATCTATGAGGTTGATCCCAATTAAAGGTGTATGCCATTCGACGACATCCTCATTTTTTATCACCTGTATTTTGAATTGATGTTGTTTCACCCATTTTTTAGGGCACGTCTTTCGTGGTGTTTCTCCGGCGAATTGAAAACATTCTTCGATTTCGCGAATGTATTTTTGTTTTAATTTCTCTTAAATTAGCACAAAATAACCAAACCCAGAGTTGCCGGATAAAACAGAAAAAAAATAGAACTAATAAACATTTAATTTTCACCTTGTTTCATAGGCCCAAGAGGACATTATTTATGATAACGGTGCCATTTTCTTTTTTTAATTCTTCGTCATTTCAGTGTATTGTTATTTTTTTCGTGTCACACATTTCTTTTAATTTGAAGCCAATGTGCAGTTTACTGTACATTTACTTGTAAGCAAAATATAAATGTCAACAACTGTGAATATCAACAATAATCAGGATTACTCTCGGGATTCCTTTGCTAGGGTAATGGTTCATGTATTGATATTTGTATACATTCCATTCCATGTTTTATTCTCAATACATTCTCTGAGCTCAGATTCCCATTTATTTTCAAATTGTAAAACAGCTTTACATCAGTTTGCTACTAATGTACTATAAATCGTTCCAATCTGCATCAAAAATATATATTGTTCAATGGTTGCTGTGGAGTCATTTTTTGAAGAAGAAAGAGAGAGAGAGAGAGAGAGAGAGAGGACAAACAAAATGGCAGCGAAACTAAAGCAGATTGTGTACAGGCTTTATTTATGAGCATCCCATCATAACACATGGACTAGATCGATATCAAAGCCACTTACAGCTGGAGGGACAAAAACAGACTGAAGCGTGAACCACTCACAGTAAGTGGAGAAACATCTACAACAGCGTACATGAATGACATTTTACATTCCAGCAGTTTGATGGCAGTGATAGATGGAGTTCAGTAAGTTCTGGATATACTTGTGGTATTTACACTGTTAATGATTTGTCAGTTTGAACATGTATGCTTTTTTTTTTTGTCTCTATTTCATCATTTCTATAAAAAAGGAAAGAAAACACATTAGAAATAAAAATAAATAAATCAGAACAAACAAATAACACAAAGAAGGTAATAAAGATAAGAAACAACTTTATCCGGATATATTATACCAGTATGGCTTATTTGAAGCAGCAAGCATGCATTTTTTTTCATACATTCTATTGCACTTAAAAATTTAGGTTTTCTAAAGTATAGTATTTTACACATGAAGTATAATAATATTGCATTGTGTGTATTCTCTTAAACAACCTGTAACCACAGTCCTAATAAGACTGGACACTGTGCGTTGATGAATTAAACTCTCCCTGATCAAACAGCAGTGAGTGTGACATAAAGCCTTCATGAGATCAGAGGTTCGGGGCTGCTTCACTATGAATGAGTTAGACATTCAGCAGGTGAGTGAACCCATCCCTTGAATACTTGAATTCTGACCTGTCCTGTTTAACTGAAATCTACCCTGTGCATCTGAGTTAAAGTGAGTCTTGTGCGTCTGAGTGTTCGTGTGTGTGTGTGTGTGTGTGTACGTGTGTGTGCACCCCGCTCTAACCAAATAGCATATGAATGACAACAATTTGTAGGTCATTTAGCATGCAATAAGAACACATTTCTTACTTTTTGCATGTCATTTGTACAGCATGTAGTCTGTACTGACTGCAATGAAAGCGTATCCGCGTAACTATGAGATGCTGTCAAAAAGGGATGTAGTATACAATGCGAGAGGGACTGCTTATGGTGGGCGGATGGGTCAAACAAACACAGGACTTCACGGTAGCGACGTGGTGTTAAGTGACACGCAAAAACTAGCATATAAATGACATGCAAAAAGCCAAAAATGCATACTAATGACACGTGGATATGTCTTTCTATTTATACGCCTTCCCATGAGATTGGGTTGGTGTGTGTGGTTGTCGGGAAGCTTCATAGGCACTCTTTCCAGAAAAAACAAAAAGTCCCTCTGCCTGTGTGGACCTCCGTTTGGTTCCGTCAGAGGATCAACCACGTCTCAGTCACAGTACCGGGGGACCTGCTGACACAAAACAGCTGCATGCTGAGTCAGCACAGCAACACTGACCTGCAGAGGGCAGAAATACACTCATGGTGAGACACACAGACACACACACATACACAGCACATTAACAGTCAAACAGTATATTGTCACACAGCATGTAATCAAGGGCCCTGTACTCCCACACAGGGAGTTATTGTGGCTGAAGTTGGGAATTATGTGAATTCACCAAACTCCATGTACTTAAAGAAGGAATAGGCATATTGACATATTGACATTTCACAGTAGGAAAAGCACAAGTTTAAATAATACAATCGATATTGGCTGAATTCCATTAAGCTGCTTCAGTTTCAGGGTCCGGGCATCGTTCATGCTAGTTCACTGTCACACTGCCATGGAGCCCTCGTTAATGTCACCTGTGCATCTCCTACTATGACGCAGTCAAAATGCCTGCCTCTCATAAAGATGTAATATAATGATTGCTATGTACAATGTATTTGCAAAATATTGTATGTTATAATGCATTTGTACAATGTATGGAAATCGGTTTAATTGATGCATCCTATGATATAATTCCATAGTTCCACGATACTTTGCAACAATTTTTTTAAATGTATGTGTAGCAACACTTTACATTAATGTATGTGGTAATTTATACGTAAATGTCTTACTTGAACCTACCAAGTAAAATGCTTGTTTCCATGTAAACTTCGTGCAGCATTCACATGACGGAGCAAACTCCCGTCTGTAGAGTCTTGCCGTTACGATTTTTACCATACCTGAAAAAAGAAGAGAGAGATTCTCATCATGTGGCAGTCCTGCTGTGATATCAGAAATAAAAAAATGCATGACATAGGATGAAACTGCTACACACCCGTTGAGGTTGGCGGGCTCTGAGTGGTAGACGTTCTTGCCCTGCTCAGCCATGGTGGGAGCGTGGTGTGAGCCGGCGTGACTCTGAGTGGCCTTCAGTGTGTGATAATGGCTCTTTGTTTCAACGGGGCTTGTGGGCAGCGACATGTGAACCGTCTCTTTTACGTTCCCATGGATCTCTGTTTTTGGGTCAAATTTGTCTGGATCGAGACGTCTGTGGTTTTTCTTTGGGGAGGACACGTCGATCACCTTGATGTCTGGGATACTGGCCTTCCTCAGGGCCACCTCTGACTGGGCCAGCTGCAGCTTCTTCATGTGGTTGATGGCTACTGCTGCGTTATAGGCTTGCTGCAAAGTGAACATGTCCAAAAAGAGATCTGAGAGCCATATAGACATAGCTTCACTTTAGAACACTTTTAGAACAACACAGATTGTTAATAGATTTATGTTTTAAAGTAATTTTACTGCTGAACAATCAAGTGCACTTTGGTTCCTCTGACAGTGAAAGCCCCACATCGGCCATCAGTGGCCTTGATTACTGAACAACATTGTATCAAACTGTCCTTAATCAGGAAGGATTTAGGTAGGCACCTGATTAAGTTACTATAAACTACAGCTCCTAAATGAGCTTACCACATCAAAGCCAAGAAATCGGCAAGGACTAACCTTCCACTTGGACTTGGCAAAGTTCTTCTGGATCTGAACGCTGACGGAATAGTAAATGTCCTGACTCCGGGCCGTCTTTCCGATAATCCTGGAAAACAGATGACGCAGCGGAGCGCTTGAATATATTTCAATGTAGGCGTTAATCCTAAACACATCTGTGGGGATACACTCCTGTATGTCACACATACTTCTTTAACTTGTTGTGTCACTAAAATGTTATAAATCTAAGGATTATAATACATTTTATTTTGCTGTCCCTAGATATAACTGCTATTTGGGATTAGTGCTGCATAATAAAACAGCAAAAACTCACAATGAAATTTGTTAGATTTATACAACTTTCAAGAAAAAAAACAAAAATGTTACTTGTTATTCTAACTATGGTACAGTGGCCAATAGACATTTTACAGTGAAGAGAAAAACCCAACTCTGCTCAAGAAATTCAACTATATTGCAGTTTATATTGTTTAAAAGCATACAATTTAACACTGTATGCTTTTAAGTGAATGCGTCATAACCAATATTTGTATCAAAATCCTTCCAGGCTGACGATTTACACTCACCAGGGATGTAGGAGCGCGAGGTCAGTGGAGTAGCGCATGCTTGGATTCTTCTGCATCATGTTACGGATGAAATCTTTAGCTGCAGATCAAAAGGTGACACACACACACACACACACACACACACAAACATTAGGGCTAGGGCTGTACGGTGGAATAAAGCTGCTACAGCAGGCCGTGTACATTATGTCTCCGTGAAATTACCAGATTCAGATATGTCATCCCAGAAAGGCGAGTCAAACTCATACTGCGCCTTCATGATCTTGGAGAACAGCCTTGTCTCACTTTCTTCATAGAAAGGCGGATATCCACAGAGTCTGAAACATAAGCATTTATTATTGCTGGAAAAAGGGGAGCACTGAAGAAATGTTCCACACATGTATATTTGCCAATGTGTGCAGTGAAACAGTATGCATAGTAGATGCTCACTAGGTGGTGCTATGGCTCAATCACTGCATCATTATAATGTATTTAGGTATCCGTGTCATGCTTAACACACACATAACCAGCAGTGGCTTTTAATCTGAAAATCCACTTGAGACCAGGAGCTGATTTACAATCTTGGTAGTCTATTTTTTTTTTTTTGCTTTCCTCTCTCTGTCTCTGTCTACTGATGTGTGCACACATTCACCATGACTTTTATACTTACAAGATGTAGGTGATAACTCCAATAGACCAACAGTCCACTGCCTTGCTGTAGGGCTTCTGTGCCAAAACTTCAGGAGCTGAAAGAGTGGAACAAATGTCAAAGCTAGGCCTTTAATAATTAGGCCTGTATGCAGAGAAACACAGGTATAAATATTACATATCGTAATGCTGTCGCGCTGTCTTAATGTGACACCCCTGTGTGTTATACATTTCTCCGACCTATTTAACCCCCCCCTCACTCACATACACTCAGTTAGTGTCCATACAGTACATCATTCATTAACAAGACATGTCTCCTTACCTACGTATCCTGGGGTGCCACAGGCTGTCGACATGATGTCATTGTTTACCATCTTGGAAAGTCCAAAATCACTGATCATGATTTTGGAGTTCTCCTCCTGGCTGTAGTACAGGAGGTTCTCTGGCTGCAGAGGGACAAAACAAACAGGCGAGCTGTTCACGCATTGATGTCCTCAGTGAAGAGCTTCTTAATGTGTTACTTCGCCTGTGGTCGGACAAATTCTCGAGTATCATTTTCTATAAAAGGACCACTGCTGCACCACTTGCAGTCTTGCATTTTGGGAAAAACGCTTTCTTGGCTTTCTTGCTGAAAGTTAGATGAGCTGAACAATACCACTCTCATATCTGTACGGTAAACATAAAGCAACAGAGAAATAAATAATCCAGCACATAACCCTGTAAAATGATTAATTTAAAGGTTACATAGCTAATAGTTGCTTGCTGCTATATCAAAGCTCTGCTGCAGGGATAACATATTTTTGTAGGCCAACCCTGGAAGTTAGCAAGGGGTTCCCTCGCCGAGAAGCAAATGTGTTTATTCCATTGGATTTTGGATTATTGCAAAAAATAGGCTTTTGTGGCAAACAAACTTACATATTTTGCTCAACAAGATAATCTCCACAAATGAACACCACTTTTATGATTTTTGAAGAATGAATAAATAGGCAGAAGTAAAAAAAAAAAAAAAGCTCACGTTAGGCTATTAACAAACTACACCACAGTCGCATGAGCACCATTATAACAAGGCTGTAAAGGCAGACTAGTCAGCCTGATGATGTTTTGTAGTCTCATTTAGCCACTTGTTAGCGATCGCTTTTTAAAAGACACTTAAAAGCTTCACAAGAGTGTTATTTACTGACACATTTCATATATCGTAGAACAAACCCCTTCAAAAACACATTGACTTCGAGACAAGGGAACCGGAAGTGCAACAATGCTAACTTATGTCAGGGTTTTAGGACTCTTTCCTGCAGCACTCAACCATTTAATATAAGGTCCTATAACGTGGCTTTATCCCAAAAGTGCACTTGAGTAAAAACGCTTGTACTCATGCTTCAGCCAAAGCAAACGTATGACTTTTTATATTATCTGAATCACACCTTGAGGTCACGGTGCACTATGCCGTTTTCGTGCAGATAGCTAACGGCCTGCAGCACCTGCTGGATCACGCTGCTGGCATCCTTCTCCGAGTACACCCCCCGGTCCAGTATACGGTCAAAGAGCTCCCCGCCTGAAACACTGGTAAGAAGACAACACAAACATCAACATGTGATCTTAAATCCCAGTTTATTTAGGTTACCTGCTCATTTGAATAATCATGTCAAATTGTAAAAACTCACAGCTGCATGATGAGATAGTAATGGGTCTGACTTTCATATAAATCCTCCATCCCCACAACATTGTCGTGTTTGATTCTGTTTAGGAAAACAACATTATGGCATTGCTGTCATAATCCCACAACAGAACTGACATATTTGCAACAGAAACAACCATCCACTGACTGCTTAGAGAATATGAAATGAAAGTCAAAGGTTCGTAAAAATTCACACGCTGATTACCTTCTCAGCACAGTGATCTCATTCTCCAGATTGGGGTCTGTTTTTTGTTTCTTTTTCACGCATTTCATGGCAAACAACTTTTCCGTCTTCTTCTCCTTCACCATGTACACCTCTGAGAACGCCCCCCTGTTCATTAACACACAAACACATTGAAAATGAGTTATAAATGTTCAGGGAATCAAGCGAATCAGGGATATTTAGCTTGCTTTCGTTTTTCTATTTTTTCGATGGGTCAAATGTGACTTCATTTATAGAGATAATCTATTTGCAGGGCTGGTAATAATAACCTACATGAAAGGCGTAGCTCCCATTTGTCTGTATGTGTAAATGCTAATAGTTTGACATATTATGAAACACGATATATTGCTCACAGTGAGAGGAACATTTTCATTTCATTCTCACATATCTGTTCAATATCTCCTTGCTGGTGCAAGGAGATGTTAGCTTAGCATTAAAAACATCTGCATCTGTACAAGAACCCAAAGTGTAAAAACGAAAATAGTGTGGGACTATTTCCACCGTAAAAACGTTAGGAGCTACTGAGGTGCGAGTGATTTTATTACCTTCGAACAGAACAGAAGATTTAATCCCCTCTTAAAGTGTTAAAAATGTCTCCTGTTTTGTTTCTATCATTTCATCGTGTTTTTGCCCCTTTGCATACTTGCGTCACGCAGAGTTGCAAACAGACTCAGAATTTCTTGGAGCGCATCAGAATTAAAATAAACACAAGGCAGAAATAGCAATATCAAGGGGTTCAATTAAGGTCTACTGAAGATCTCTGTGGCTTAACTATTCACATGTCAGAGGCTTATTATGGTGCTCTGGGCTTCGTTGGCTGGGAATAGTTGTTCTACCAGGTGGATTAGGTGCTTTATCCCCGACGTAACAGAAACAGTTCCTGGCGGAGAGCTCTGTACTCGAATTTCTGAAACTGAGCATGTGCGGCAGGGATCCTTGGGAACAACAAGCTGCCAGCGTACAGTACAGAATGGGTCACAGACAGATGTCAAGGGCTGTGGACAGACAGGTCTCAAGTCAGCCCTGCCCTCTGCCTATAAGGTGATGATACTGACCCTGAAGGATGAAGGAATGTACTATAATGAGGACCGACACATGCGCCTGCTGGAGGAGCTGAGTACTAATTTAACAGCACAATGTGAAATTATAACAGTTGCCAGTTTAATTTCCCATTGTTCCAATAAGTGTATCTCACATTTAGAAGGCCAGTGTTGCCACACACACACACACACACACACACACACACACACACACACACACACACACATACAAACTGCAGAATGGTGGAGACTCAGGGAGGCAGACAACAAGCTGCCCCCACAGCATCATCACAGCACTTCACATCCCCGTTGCTCAACTGATTTCACCTTGGTTACCACAGCTCATTCTGTTCCTCAGATCTCCTTGAAGATTATTGCTACTCTCAAGAGAAATCGTCAATCAAGCCCTGCACACGAAAGCCAGACAGCATCCTTTTATAAAAAGACAAAAAGGGCAATCAGAAATCACTGGCGAGCTAACTCGAGCGTGTAAATTTGGGAGCTTAAAAGTCAAAATTGTAGATGAGAATGAAATTGCTCTGTGCTTTTTGAGAGTTGCATTGACCCCTGAAGAGACTGTGTGCTGATTGCCTGGAAACCATTCGGATGTTGTTTACACTATGTATGACGACAGAGGCCCAATGGGAAAGGTTGTATTTGGTGATATCCTGTCCCTTCTGGATTCTCTTCCTTTTTTTTTTTGTGATGGAAAAAAAATAAATGAGAATGGGCGTAACAGCTCAGAGGGTTCAGTCTGTTGACACCTTCAACAGGAATGAAAGCAGTCCAGCAAAATCATTCAGTGGCTCAGGCAGGAACGGTAATCCTTCACCGTGCTTTGGAGTCTCTCTTTTGGTTCCTTGTCTTTAATCTAATTGCAAACTAAAGCATCATTTTGCCTTGAAATTGATTTTGAATACTTAAGATGAGGTGAAATAAACGTATCACAAATAGATCTAAACTTCATTGCCCACTTTTCCATAACACTCCCAGAGTTGTTTTTCAAAGTGTTCGGGGAAATAAAAGTAATTGCCGCAGACTAATTGGGCCACGTATTATATCATGCACTGTACTCAGGAGGGCCTCGCCTCCTTCACTGTCCAATCACCGCTGAAAGCCTTCCAGCGGCCTCCTCGGCCCTCAGCACAGATATCCGCTCTGTTTTTCCAAAACACGCAGGCAGCATTCACATCTGCACCTTTATTTACTGTGGGCCTCTGATCTACTGTTCTACAGCCGCTTGCTGAATACCTCAGAGAACCTGCAGATCATCAGCGTTGACTTCACAGGAATTAGGTCAGCACAAGAAACTGTTAGCTGAGTGTGTGCAGAGTATACAGTAACATGCAGCAAAACATCATCTTCATTGTTGTTATTGAAAATAGCTACATGTGAACTGATAAACATCTTTTAGGGCTGCAACTAATGATTGATTTCAGTATTGATTCATCAGTTCATTATTTTCTTGATTCATCGATTGTTTTGCCTATAACATGTAAGAAAAGAATGAAAAATCTCAATTATCTAAAGCCAAACGTGATGTCATCATGTTTTATCAGACCAACAGTCAAAACCCACTTTCAGTTTAGCAGACACAGAGAACCAGCAAAGCCTTTAAAAATGACCTAAATGATTATCAAGTTATCAAAAATGATTGTTTTTCTGAAATCTTCTAATCACCTAAATGTTGTAACTCTTGTTTTCTAACCTTTGTGAGAAAGTGAAAATTCAATGTGATTCTCGAGAAAACGATATAAAATAAAACAAATATTTGTTCGTGAATTAACTGCGAGGCCGACTCAAAGCCAGACTGATTAACCCTTTGCAACAGCTAAAGCGTGATGTTGTCTAAGACCTCAGTGAAGTAGGCCTCCCCATGTCAATCCAATCAAACCAGTAATCTGTCCTCCAACTGAAACAAGCATGTGCAGAGTGTACTATCATGCCATGTGCAAGTCAAGACACAAGTTGTACTGTGGTGCCTTAATATCACTAAACTAAACATCCAGCACTCGTAAATATTCCCAGAGGTTCTAAGAAATACAGGAAGACATTCTACATATATACAAAAACTGAACAGGAAATTAAAGCTAGCTCAGTAAATATTAAGATTTCTTGAATAAACCAATACTTAAAGAAACAGTGGTGTCTTACATTGAGTAAAATGTACTTACGATCCCAACTCCTCCATGAAGTCAAAAACCTCCTGGATGTTTTCGGTGACTTTCTTCCAGATGTGTTGCGCCTCTTGACGACCCATTTCTGCAGAAGCTTCAACAGGGATTTCTTTCAGAATTAAGGAGGAAGAGAAGCATAGATGTCAACACTGAAGTTCCACAATGCTCCCGTTTTTCTTTCCGTGAGTAAATTCAATGATCCTGGCTTATTGTCCAGACCCCCTCGTGATCCTAATCATGAACAGAAAGTCCTTTGGGATTATTGAAGAGTCATGATATAGCGGGTGTGAAGGTTGTCTGCTGCGCTGCTCAGACTGTCCGCAGGAGGACGAGCAGAGGAGACAGACATGTGCCGGTGTCTGACTGACAAAAGGTCAGAGCAAGTAATCCGTGCGGTAACTAGCACACAGGAAGGTATGAACGGAGCAGTGCCTGGCCCACACTGTACCAGGGTCAAATGATACTGTATGATGCTGAAGTGTATGAATAAATAATCGATCAGAGATATCAAACAAGGAAGAAAATTGAGGATTTGAGGACAAAAATGTGTACTTCAGATTAAAATAATTATCAAAAGCTATTGGTAAAGTTTAAAAAACAAAATGCAATAACACAGCTCTGATCATCATACAGTATTCATACAATATTCACTTCTTATGTTGAGCAAAATACTTAGACAAAGAACATTTCTTAGGATTAGAAAGAGTGACTTATCTAATGAAACTGAAGGTACTGAGAAGGATTAGGAGCACTATAAGGTTACCCAGTTTGGTTTCCTGCCCTCTTTTCTTATATAAGGGATAAGCAACTCTTGATCTGGAGACCTGACCTTATTACAGGTATAAATACCAGCAGATAGCTTCAAACAACTTAACTTACGTGCAGAATAAATGTCTTTAACTACAGCCAGTGGAGGAAGTATTCCAATCCTTTACTTAAGTAAAAGTACTAATATCAAACTGTAAAAATACTGCAGACTAGAGGGCGTTCCTTAAGCAGCTGTTTCCTGTTCTTTGTAACTGTCCTTTAGTCCTGCTCAAACTCTCTAATTGCAGCCTGTAATAAGTAAAAGTCCTGCAGTGAACATGTGGACGATGTATAATTAAATTAAATGTAATTGTAATTGGGATAATGTGCTTAAAGTAAAAGTACCCCTTTGTCCCCAAAGGCACTTGAAATAAGCATTAGAATCTATGCGCAACAGATGAGGGGAAAACAAATCTGATATCTAAATCTTTCAATCAATCCATTTTTCTTTTGTCCTCGTGCATATGTGCATGGACTCCAATATTGCAGTTCAATTAATTTAAGACATGCCATTTGCATACTAAGAATTTCAGAGTGTTGTTTATTCACACACACTGCTGAGCTCTGGGGGTCTACTGTTTTCACGCACACAACAAAAGCTCTTGCGCCTTTTGTCCCCCTGTTGTTCTCATGGCTTCCCTCGGCAGCAGCCTTATCGCTTCTCTGACCGCGGCGTTTGAGCAGCTTAAAACATGCAGCAGACTGCAGCTGCATCTGATACACACGCTGCCATGAAGAGCATCCCACTGAATCCTGGAGAACATGTTCAAAACCACAAGCAGTGATTCAAACCCCGTTTGCGGAGTCAAACCCTGCAGCATTGATTCGCAATGTAATGCAGTTACTATGCCGTTGTTTTTTGAAAATCTTTCTACGTTATCTTTATTCTACAGATGAGTCCTATACTGCTCTTCCCCTAGCTGTAGGTTTAAAGTCGAGTTGCGCGTTTTTGGTTTTTTTACCCTACATTAAAGCACCCTTCAATGAATGGACAATAACAACGCAAATAGATGTGGTAGTAACCGACAGCGGATGGTGCTATGCAGCCCTTCTTTTCTACTCATGCTACCAAGTTGGCTGCGGCATCGCGCGGAAAGATCACTCTGCGGCAAAACAGAGAGTGATCAGATATTCAGAGCAAGCTTGCAGCACGCGCAGTTCTGAGCAACAGTATCATACAAGCAAGTTTGGACTCATGATGCTGAATGCGAATGCAAAAAAAATCCCGCCAAACTACCCCAAATTACGCACAGAATACGAATTAGCCAGCACTGGCCGTTCTTCTGGGCTGAAAAACTACAGTTACATAAATACAACGAGAGTAGTTTCAGTCCTCCAGATCCAAGTGACTCCCTTCATAAAGAAGAGACTTACCTAGAGACTGCGCGCTTTTGGAGCTCTGCTCGGACTCTCCTGTCAAATGCTCGCAGTGGTCTGGACCGTTTACTTTGTCTGGGACTGTACAAGTACCTGATGTCAAGTCAGAGATTACATCCATGGAGAGAGCCGAGGGGAGGGGCTGCTGACAGTGTTACAGGTGCACATTGAGATTGCAGGTCAGGTTGCTGCTGCTGCTGCTGCTGCAGTCATCTTTCCACGCAGCAACAAGTTTACACAGATTCATTCAAAACAGCAACATGTGCACGCGCATGCGCGGCTACGCACACGCATCAGTTTGGCGGGGCCTCTCCACACTGATGGTGGACTCACATTTTGAAATGCGTGGCCAGTACTGATGATTGTTTTAACAACAGGTTCCACGGTTTTATAAGGTCCTCTTTATACAGGCTTTATATCTAATGGCTTAATTAATACAGTGGACGTTTATCAATGCATTATGATATTCATAATTATATCAAATAGAAAGGATGAACACTAATAGGCATTTTCTAAATGATTGATTGCTGATCTAGTTCATTATTTATTACAGTGCTTATAAAAGTACATGTTACATGCTTCATGTTTTATTGTTTAAAGTTGAATCAAACTAGATTTAATGTGCCTTTTTTGACACCGATCTACAGACAAAGATCCTGTAACCTTCATCCCACCAAATTGTGTCCCCTCAAACCCCAAAAGTATACTTTTTGTCATACCTCACAGGTGCTTTATTCTGTCATCCCACACTTATGACTTTGTCAATACATTTATTCCTACGTTATATCATTGTTTCCTGTTTCTGTATGAATTAGTCCTTTTTTGTATAATCATGTTAGATACTAAGTCTCTCTCAGTTGACATGCGTTTAGTGGGAGGGAGAAAGCATGCAGATGCAGTCAGAAGTAACCGATTGCGGCCTAGATCAAATAGAATAGATGGGTCCTAATTTAAAGTGTCACACAGTTAGGGGGGGAGGGGCACTCTGTCAATTATTTTTAAGGAGACAGACACAGATGTCCTCATGTGCTCTGTCTATTTTCGTTAAAAAAAACAAGTTAACATTTTGCTATGATGCTTGTTTCATACAGTTCTTGAGGTCCCCAGTCAGCAGTCCTTGTATGTTGGTGAGGGTTGAATGACGGTTAGTGACAAAATACTTGTATTTACTTGCAAGAGTTACACTTAGCTAAATACTGTATTTGACTTTCATAGAAGTCCAGATGGTTCAGGTGTGTCCTATCAAAGTGGCTGAATACTTCTGCAAACAAATATTTTGTACTTTATAAGTGGAATTAATAGTCATCTGGTCTTTTTTTCTGTTGATCAGTGTCACAAAGCCTCATTAAATCTCCTGAGTCAATTTTGTAAAAAACTTCCAATTCAATTGTAATATTTGTATATTGTAGTAGATAACTAGTGATTTATATAAATCATTATAATGTATATCAAGTGTTTGAAATGTTGTATGCATTAGTAAACATTCAGTTCTTTTTACTCAGCAATAAACAATCATAAAGCATTTTCACAGTAATTCATCCAATCTACCGTTTTATAGCTAGACTTTTTTAGAACACAAAAAAATCACAGATGCTCCTATATTAACGGGTTATTAATGATCTATAAAGCATTGGTAAATTGAAGAAAGCCATCTGTTAAATCTCTTAGACGAGGGGCATGCCTTATTAGAAAGTGGTACAGACAACAGAAATGTGTTTGGAAACTTGTTTCACACCTGGGCTGCAGATGGGGATGACTGCTGCATTAGGCTGTAAGCACGTCGCAGCATACAACATGGTCTCCCGAGGCAACCTTTAACAGGCTTATGTATTAAACTGCATCGTGTGCTTATTTCCCCTGCTGCTCATGAAGCCATATACGCAGAGACAGAAGACAGTTGTTCCCCTGTGTTTACTGCACACAAAGGACAAGGACACAAAACAATAATAATTATGCACAAATATTTCTAATTAGAAGGAACAGCTATGGCAATGCAGGCATGTTTTTAAGACAACACAGGTCTTCGTCAAACGCTGCAGTGTTGATCCCGTGTGATATCTGGCAGGTTCAGTTTTATAGCTTGAAATGCGGCCTACCTTATACTTCTAGGCACCTGCTGTAAATAGAGAGACAGAATATCAATGGCTGGACCGGCTCGTCGTGTTGTCATGGATGGATACTGCAGGGCCAAGAGGTTGTCATGTTGATCCTCCATTTCAGGTTTTGGTTTTAGAGCTAGAACGAGTTCAAGTGTTTTCTATTCAGGAGAGACGGCGCCGGGCAGGAAACAGCAACAGCAGCTTCTATAAAGAGCGTGGCAGGTTTGATGTGAATGTTAAACTGTTATTACACAGTTATTACAGGCTGCAATTAGAGTGTTTGAGCAGGACTAAAGAAAAGTTACAAAGAACAGGAAACGGCTGGTCAAAAACAATAATCAAAAACATATACCGTCTATACTGTTACACCCCCAGTTGGGGAGGAAGTATTCCGGTCCTTTACTTAAATAACAGTATTAATTCCTGTAAAAGCACTCTTTTACAAGTAAAACTCCTGCATTGAAAATGTTACTTTTAAATTATTATATATTAGTATGCAAGTATCATCAGGAAAATGTGTTTGAAGTTACTTAAAGTTGAATGCAGGACTTTTACTTGTATTTTTTTTTAAACATAGTTTTAGTGATACTTTTACTGAAGAACCGGAGTACTTCTTCAGTGTCGTGTCGATACAGATTGATGAAACGCTAAACACCAGGCCTGAGTTGTGTAACCTAACGTCACCAACCAGTTTATAAGGGAAAGGATCAGTTTGAACTTTTTAACCCCCTGCTGGTGGGATTAACCACAACTCCAGTGACTCAGTTCGTGGGTACCAGAGGTTGGCCGGTTCAGGTCCCACACGGACCAAGTATGGAGCGTGGACTGGTATCTTGACAGGAGCCAGTTCAGATTCTGGTCATTGCAGGCCTATGTCTGTGAAATAACAAGGAGTGAAAAAATGTAATTTCCCCAGGGGGAATAAAGTAATTATGTAATTAAAGTGATGTAAAACAAAGCTGTCCGAAAAACAAAACAATTAACATTGCCTCAGGCTCTTAAAGATCCATTGTGACTAACTGAATGGTCAATGGGATTACACTAACGGGATCAGGAAAGTGCTCATTGCTTTAAATAACTTGATCGGTTACTTAAGTGTTCTCACGTGAGGGAGAGTCAGAAGACATTCAAACTCATCACATCTATAGACCTTCAGAAATCATTCAACAAAATGTAATCGGGGTTTAAATCCACTGAACAAAAATTAGTTATTTTTAGTTAGTTATTGAGTGCAACATAAAATAATTGAATTAGTGCAAAAAAAAACAAAAAACAAAAAAAAAAAACATCCACTGCTCACATAACCTGAGATTAAAGTGAAGTTAGGGACACAATCAATGTTGTATAAAGGAATCAATTACTGTACCTGCACCATCTCTGATAAGCTGCTGTTGCTGTCTTATTAAGTTTACCGGTCATGTAGAGGGAGAAGAGTGCACCCCAGAGGTTAGAAGTCAGAATAGCACAGGCAGTAAAACCCCTGTACTTATATAAAGGGCCAAGGTTATGGCAATACGTACTAACAGAAAACAAACACCCGAGAGAACTGGACATCAGTTAAACCACTGAAGACCTCAGTGTTTCATCAAAACACAAAAACGAAAACATAAAAGTGCATGATCTTTATTTGATATACTGTGAAGAGCCGTCCAGGGCGGCACAAAATGGCAGCAGAACAATGAATGTATAAGGCTCCTTTGAACTAACAATGAAACTGGTCTTTGACTCGATTTGTCAATTCTGCCAGAACATAAAGAGGAACACCTGCAAAAGATAAAACATAGCATTTGTAAATAGATGAACCAGTCCGTTAAGTCTTTTTCTCCCCCATTCACAACCAAATCCCCCGTGTTCATATAATACACCACCACTGTCGAAGGCCATCGGTGAAAAGCCCAACCTCGACCCCTGAGATGAACTATCCCACGTGCCATCGGTAAAAGAACACGGTGAACAGCAGGGAGTGCTAAAAAATGAATGAAAAGTAAAGTGGATCATAAAAATGTTATAAATACCAATAGTGGAATTTATTAATTGTAATATTTTATCTACCTCTTATTTTTCTGCACCATCATATTTCTCGAGTTTATTCAGTGTACAAATATTAAACATAGAATTATGTGTATATTGTGTACAGTAGCATGTATTCATCAAAATATTTCTCAAAAACACCATCCACCCTGTGCTTTCCACTTAAATCCATCTCTACGGCTGTAATTCTATGCTGCCTAGTCTTGGTTTTGCACTTGAGTCCCATGTTACTGACACCAAAAACAAGGCCAAGGCCCCAGCTGCATTCTGATTATCTGCTGTGTTGCTCAATAGTGCAGCAGACATTACGGGTCCCTTTTCATATGTGGTCTGTTGCTGTGACCACACTATCAGGCAGGGCTTAGCTGCGGAGTTATTGGACGCAAAGCCTTAGATTCCCAGGTTTATGTCTCCCTCTAGGGGGCGGATTGCAACAGATTCACTCAGCTTCTGGCCCATACGCCTCAGCTCTTTCTCCTAGTTGTATAAAGAGGGACCACTTACCCTCAACAATTCGGTATCATCTTTGGCTTTGCAGAAGTTAAGTCTGAAAGCAGTAAGTCTCACATACAGTAGATGAGAGGGCATCTACTGCACAGCACACACGGGTTCATGCCGAGTATGTGTGTGTGCGTGAAAGCCTTACGCCCAGTGAACCTGAGCTCCCGCCTTCGAGTGCCGCTTGGCCTCCTTGATGGAGAAGGCCTCTTGCTCCTCGCTTATCTCCTTCATCCTCTTCTCATCCAGAAACAACACCAAGGAGTCCCTCATGTCCACCACGTCGATCATCTGTTGAAGGAACCGTTCTTCTTCTGCCTGCTGCTCTGTTGTCTTGTCTGCCAGACAAACACATGTGCACACTTTAATGAGGCAATAATCAATATGTTTATAATAACAATGAACCGATGGCAATGTGAAAATAATGTGACAGGGGTTGCTCGTTCAGATAATTATGGCTTAGATCTGCAGCTCCCTTCAGCTTTACAGAGCTTTATAGTGAGTTCAGTTCAGTGTTTAGTTGTTCGAACTGCAGCTTAACTGATTCAGTTCACCCTCACCCTACAAAGCTCTAAAACAACACCGTACACTACCACGCAGTTAGAGAGCTGTTGAACAAGGAGGAGCATCCAGCAGCTAAAGAGACAGATATTAGTCTCAGGAGTTGGTAGAGACCAAAAACAGAGCTAGAGGAAAGTGAATATGAGACTTTCATTCATCAGGTGGACAGAAACACGACTCCAAATGAATGATATTGTTGCGTAAACAAGCAGCTGTTTGCTCATAAGTATGGATGAAATAATTACTGTTTTTTCTATCTGGCATTTCAAAGTTCAGCCAAAGCTAATAAGTATGATTTACTACAAAATACACGGATTGAGTGAACAGGGCCACATTGCCAAAGCACTGATGTTGTCATTAGAAAAGGAAAAACATGCAATGATGATCTCAATAGCCTTGGCTTAGCACAACTGCTACTTGGCTTGCTCTCTTCTAACTGCTTTAAAATCAATAGGACTATTCAAGAAGCACACCAAAGTACACACCATCCAGTTCCATGTATTTCCTGAGCTCCGACTCCAACATGCTCTGCTTGTCTTCGAGTTCCAGCTGTCGAGACCTGAGAGAAACACAAACATCCTGCTGTAGCTGCAGGTCATCACAAGGCCACATGACAAACAGAGTCTGACTGTAAACCAGACAGGTGACCACCAAGAGGAGAACAAACAGTAACCACCGTGTTTTGATGTGGACGCCCTGCTCTTATGTGGTTAATGTGTCACTTCTACTTTGCACAAAAGCGGTGTTGTATTCTCAGCGTGACGACTCGGGCTTCTTAAGAGTTTCTTTTTTAATTTGCAAGGTGTACACTCACGCCACCATGAGGTCAGACTCCTCAGACACCAACGCGTTCTTCTCGTGGACGAGTTGGATCCAATGCTCAATCATCTGCGGAGAGCCGCTGCTGCCTAGAGGTGGAGAAATACAGTGTCTGGGTATCTGCGTTTGATGTTCGTTTGTAAAGTTGGAAAGAAAAAGAGGAAGATGGGTTTTTATGGAAATTCTAAATATAGTGATGTGCTGCATATGACACAACAGCCACGTCAGTGAGCACATCTACAGGGTTCTTGAGGCTGATCCAATGCGAATTCAGCTGACTTGTAAAAATTAAAAGGTAAACATTTTAACCCCATCAATATACATGTATTTAGTACTGTATTTATAGTGCTCATAATATTTTTTGTTTTAAATGGAAACACCTGGTGTTTATTTATAATTAACTAAAAGCATATTTACCATTTGCAGAGCAGACTCTCTAGTTGTTTACTTATTAATTTATGTATTTATAAAATCAACAGCAGCTCATTTGAGCTTTCGCTCCACTTCCTATTACCAGAAGAAGAGAGAGGACTTCATATAATTTACAAGTCAGCATCTTATTCCAGCACAAAACAACCACTTTTGGTTGCATGGAAATAACTTTAAACTGTAAATCTGGGTAATTTTTTAATAAAAAAATATGAAAAAGGGGAGCCTGCTGTTAACGTGTGGGTCTTACCAGCCTCTCCACGCAGGGTTCTCTCCAGCACTACACCTTTATCTTCCAAGTCCTTGAAGGTCACCTCGATCTCCTCCAGTCTCCTCTGGATGGACTGCGAACCAGAGACAAGAAACCGTAAGAAAGGTGCTTGAGCAAATCATTATTCGTTCATGATGGTATTTACTGACGCAACTTTTCTGCAATAGCCATTTAATATACATACATTCTATAGTAATTTATCTAAAAAGTAATTTCCATTGTTAGCGGCGGAGTCCGCCATTCCCACGCTGGGTTGAAATTGCCGAGCTAAGCGCGAGAGATTCACAATGTATGTAATCCAGCGCTACAGTGTTTACTCTAATCTCACTGATATCGGCCTCAGTATTTACTGCTCCCACAAACACATTTGAGTTTACTCAATTATTTCTAATGCAAACCAAACATTTCCCACTGCTGCTGCATCACATTTAAAGCGTGCAACTTGTGTAATAAGAGGGGACTTTTATTATGAAGAAGCCACTGGAATCAGTCACACCAAAAGTTAATCAAAAATATGTATTCAAAACAATCATGGGCATTGTCAGGTTGTTTAGGTTTCCCTCTTCTTCTTTTGACAGTGGATCCATTTTAAATAATGACGGGAGTATTGGGACGAGAAGGTAACCGACTGCTTTTACTGTACTCTGCTGTTGTGTTGAAAACTACTTGCGCAGTGTGCAGCATGAAATCAGACCGTAGTTGCTCATGGCGTGATGTAAAAATAGACTATTGACTGACTTCTTTATTAAATCAACTTGTATATCTGACAAAGTAGCTACTGCACAGGGAGTGTTTGCTGCGCCTAGGATAGTGAGGCCTATAGTATTAAACCACACTTGCTGTTACCACAAGTAACCACGGGTGTCACCAAATAAGCAAGGAATGAAATCTCAAGGATAACAACTCTAACATACAAAAAAAATATTCAAAAACAAATTGATACACTTAACCTCACAGCACAAATGTATGAGCTATACAATTGTATATTCATATACAAGTGAATTGCTTCAGTGAGTGAAGTTGGAGAAGCCACTCACCAATAAAACATGGATGAGCTGTGAGTATTGGAACGCTGTGAGAGACACTGACCTGGGCATTGCGCAATCGCTGTAATTTGCTCATCTTGGCCCGCCGCTCTAGTGTCCTTATCTTCACAAACTCCATTTTCTCAGCCTCAACCGGGTCTGATGGCACAGTCTGAAACTAAAGTCAAAGTGTCAGTCCTGTAAGTCTACTGCTGTTTAAATGTAGCAGGCTCACTATCATATGAATATGAAAATATCAGCTCCATTCCTCGGCTTACTTTCTCATCAGATAAGTCAACATCATCTTGCGCAAACATCTCATCGTCATCATCGTCATCATCATCTCCATCGGCGCCCTCTTCTGAGGTGCTGTGAGCGTGTCTGAATGTTGTTTCTGTGGTACAAATGGAAGAAAGATGTTGTGACAAGTGTTACACAGCAAATGTTTTTCCTCCTGCAACCAGCAATCTTTTTCTTCACCAAGGATCAAAGAGAATGAGTCCTTACTTACCCACTCTCCCTGGACGATTAATGTGGACACTGAGCCGGGTGTCTCTGCTGATTCTCGGAGAAGACAGATTCCAGGGGGAGAACTTGGATCTTACCCTGGTCTGCCCGCTTGGCATCTCTTTTCTCTTGAAGCAGCGCCGATTCCTCTTCTCCCGGATGTGACTTGCGGTGCTCCCACTCCAGTAGCCCTCCTCGTCTTGCCCATCGAGGCCCTGTGGTTTAGGAGGGCTTGGAACTCCTGCAGTTGCAGAGGAAGAGGAGCAGGAGGAGGATCCACCGGGGGTCTCTGAGTCAGAGTCCACACTGAGGCTCTGGAGGTTCACCAGTTGGCTTTTCTCCTCATCGGTCAGCCGGAGCTTTCGGAGTGATTGCTTCGGACGGGAGTCCGGGGCTGCCTTTGAGATCTCTTTTGTCGGGGTTGGAGATGAACGGTTTTCTGGTGTCGAGGGGTTAACAATGTGGACTGTGCGAGGTTTTGCTGTTGGAGGTGAGGGCTGATGGCTGGGTGTGGTCTGATGAGAGAGGCGGGGCTTTGGCACAGGATAGGACACGGCCTCCTCCTCGGTGGGTGCTGCAACCTCAGTTTTAGATGGAGGATGTATGGGAGTTTCTGATATATGTGGTTGTTGGGAGTCCTCTTTGGATTCAAGTACCCGGTGATCCTGTCCTTCAGGTTTATGCGACTGCGAGTGAGCAGAGGGACCACAGTCCACAGTATGCTCATACTCCTCATCTGATGGAGATGGTGTATAATCATCACTGGAAAGCCTGTTCTCCTCATTTGTTCCTTCGCGTACCTGAATACAAAAATGTTATTGTTAAAAAAGACAAAGAAAGAGCACAAATTCCTGTTTAATATGTTTTGTTCCTCAGACTACAGTTGCTTAGACACAAACATCCTCATTAGTTGGGCGTGACTGCTGTGAAGGAGTAGGCACCATGAGGATGATATATCGTGCAACAGAAGATTGTGGATCACCAGCATTACGAACAGAGGGATCCGAGCAGCAAGCTACACAATGGTTTACATCTGCTCTGTTCAGTGACCCACCTTAGACGATGTTTCCGGCCCGACTTCCAGCTCTTCAGAGTGCAGCTCACAGTAAAATCTCCCTGAGGGGACATCACAGACAAAAGCAATAAAAGGAGTTGAAAAGTCGGAGACAAGTGAATGTTGACGCGCTAACGAGAAAAGGCCTGCTGTTTTTCATAAATGATTAAAGTCCATTCACTCTAAATGGAAACCCCTTTAAAAAAAAAAAGGGTCTTGGTACAAATTATTAATTTCATAAATGAATAAGTGATACTCCACTTAGCAATTAACATAGCTGTTTAAACCACAAATACAAGTGCGTTACACTGAGCAACAAAACATTAACTGCTTAAACAGAGGATGAAGCAAACTAAAGAGGCTGCTAAAGAAGGAGAACATAAAACAGATATTACACCAAACATGTACAAATAATTTGGGGAAACCTTGAGAATCACAACAATATTTTGAATGGATGCTTGTGTCCAAATAGTTCCTGTGAACATATGACACTTTCTTTTATTCATTTGACAAACCTGTAGGCTGGTCAAAGGTGTATCCTCCCAGTCTGAGAGTGATGCCGCACCGATGGCAGGTGAAGCAGCTCCGATGGAAGAACTTGCCCTCAGCGCTGATGCGCTCCAGCACGTAGACCCTCCGAGCACAGAAGTAACACTCCTCACTGTTCGTCATGGACACAACAGCACCAGGTTCAGGCTCGGGATCGGGAGCAGGATCAGGTGTGGGACTGAGCTCAGGGGACACGGGAGGGGACATGGGAGGGGACACGGGAGGCGACACCGTCTGAGGGGAAAAGGCAGAGTTGAATTCAGTGAAGCCACACTGGCAAAAAAAAATAAAAAATTAGTACAGAAAGCTACACAACGCACACTGTCCTCATCTCCCATCCTCGTCTCTCTACTTCTTTTCTCAGATGCCAGCCTTTCCTATAGAGGAAATAAGAAAAACTACCGATTATGTGGAGAACATTCAAACCATTATAATGACTAGAAAACCACTTTCCTTGTTATAACATCTAACAATTCGTCCCTAAATAACGGATGTGAGTCACGGACAGCAACAGAACACAGACTGAAGGCCCAGACGTGAACTCCAGCCAACCAGCCAGCGTGTTTGAAAATATCTTTATCAAACATTTCTCGGCGCCGTGTAAACAGTCAGCACACAGTCACAGTGGGCGTACCTTGCGTTTTTGCAGAGAGTTGTGCTTCAGCTTGTTCAGGAAGAAGACAGCCGACTGTGTCTTGGAGAAAGACAGAGGCTTGGACGACGGCAGGAAGGCTGCAGGGTCTGCAGCCAAGAGATATTGAGGGAAAGAAAAAAATAAAAAAAAATTGTCAGAGAGGGACACACCAAATTCAGTTTATCTTACTATAGCACTAGGCTGCACACCAAAAGACACCTGAGCCTTAGTGTTGGCCTACTTGCAGCGCTGCATACAGCAGCTTAAAATATTCTAAGTGTGCCTTCTTTAATATCTCCACGGTACATCTTTTTATGTTGATACTCTGTCAGAAATATAAAAAACCCATCTAACTTGTATTTTCTGTAGCGCCACAGCAGCCGAATTTAACTTGTCAATCCACATAAAAACTCCTCAGCTCCTGTCCTAACCACCACTCCCATCCTTTCAGCATTCAGATAAGGTTACCGGAGAGTGACAGCTCCCTCCTGCCTGCACATCAGGCGGCGGATCCCAAGCAGAGCAGCATCACACAGACACAGAGAGCGTTTATCACACCCACTTCAGCTCATTTCAGTGCCTCCAAACGCTGGGCTCAAAAATGTACGCTTGCACAAAACTACCCATGCTGCAAAGACTGTAAAAAAAAAAATACCTCTGCTACAAAGAGCTGGGAGAAAATCCTCCTTCAGTGCAGGAATAGTAGATCCTGTTCAAGAGAAGCTAGTCCCATCAGACCTGATAAACCAGGTCCACACGGTGACTGTTTGCTCTGTCTTCTGCTGCTGCTCGGCTGGCTTAGTGCAGGAGAACAGCACTACCAGTGGAGCTGCCACTAAGCACAGCACTGGCCATTTAAGCCAAATGAATTCTGGGTAGCAGGCTCTTAAAGAGACAGCATTGATTTGATCAATTCTCAACCCATTTTAGTGGGAAGGCACATGATCCTTTTAAGTCGATGCTAATGCTTTGCAGTGTCTATGCAACCACTATTAATGCAGCCGTCACCAAAAGCTAGCTTCAGAAATAATTAT